GCAGGCCTTTGGTGGGGCTCCATTTGTTATCTGCGGATGACAAATTGCAATATCATCCTGGTAGTCTAGACAGAACCACTAGACAAGAGAAATACAAACAGCTACTGGCCTGCTCTTTGTAGGTATAATGTTATATCTATGACCATACTTACCTATATCAAGGACATATGTCTTTAAAGTCAAGCTTAGTTCCTAATAATTACGGTAAGATTTATTTGATAATGGCTATGGGCTCATGGCAGTGTATATGGAACTGCCCTCTATTTTTCCCCCTATAAGACCTTTGTCAGATATATTGGGCTGGAAAAAACCGACTTCAGTGGGTCATCAGTGGGCTTTCAGGGCTGAAAGTAGACTCAAACCTCATTTCCCCAATTTTAGTCAAAATCTTGGCTGTTAGATGTGATTGATGCCAATATTTCAGCCCACTTCTTGGATTGGTGGAAGTTCAAGGGAATTTAAGGAAGCATCATCCAATCCTGTAAATTTCCCTATGTGAAAAGAATTGCTACAATATATAGGTTTCAGGGATGTCTAGTTTTATTTCTGAAAACCAATCCAAATCATCCCAGAACTACGGTAAGTCTAATTCACTGATTTGTCAACTCCAGAAGTTGTCTTAGATTCAAAGGCCACTGAAGAGGGAGGTGTTCCCTACCTTGATCTATACATTTCATTTTACTCCTTGCCTGAATCTCATCTTGAAACTGTGCCAAATGAGGACATGTAACACCAGGATTGCTTCTGCATTTCATTTGTGTGCTTGTTTTTGTTCTTTTCAAATGTTTGTTGATAATTTTTAAAAAATGAATTCTAAAATTTAAAAATAAGTGTAAATATATCTATGTCCTTGCACTTTAAGGATTCAATGATAAGAATCATTTGCACAATGATTAAGCCTAATTTTCCAGTATCTATTGCGTCTCAACTAAAGGCTTGATGGTGATGTCATGCAGCTGGATATTGAAGAAGCAATTCTTACTTGTGAAACTTTCTCAGACTTCATTCACAAATTCCACTCCCAGGTTGAGCTGACTAAGCCATAGAAAACACATTAATCATGCATAGGCCTGTATATACAATTAACTCGTTAACAAGTTTGGGAAGACTCTATCTTGACTGAGTCATTTATTATTTGATTCTGCTCAGTTTGAAATCAGGGATTACTTTGGGATAAAGTTCTAACCTAATATATTTTTAAAGTTCTGCCTTCGTAGCTGATTAAAATTTTTTGGTCGTTTTAATATTGTTCCTCTTTTAACTACACTTAAATGCATTTAATTCTGCTTGCATTGTTTTCAAGGTTGCTTTGAATCCTGAAAGCACATGCACATGTCTTTATTTGCTCTGCAAAACAATGACAGTATTCATACCATGATTGACTGACAGTATTATAACAATAAAGCATGGAGAAACTACATTTTTGGAGGTGGGGAGGCCACAGATATTTGCCATTAAAGGCCATATACAATAATGTCACTCAAGAGGGAAGATCTAAAGTTTTTGACCCGTATGGATCCACTGGAGAAAACATTGAAAGGCAGTTTCAAAGGTAAAAATAGTGTTGTCTTTTAAATAGTACATAGCAAAGATATCTAATCAATAACAAAACAAAGTTGAAAAGCACCCTAAAATAAAACTATTAACAAAATGATATATAATCCATTCCTCTGCTCAGTTCTTATACTGAAGAGACACCAAAATTAAGCTACTGCCCCTTGAATTTTGGTGGCACAGTCTTCTTGAGTGGTGGGATAGGTTTGGGATGCCACAGTAATATGAGTCAGGCCTTATAGGAGGCCTGCAGATTGCCTGGTCCTGTATAAAAGTGAAGCTTGAAAGCTTGCTACTATATATGAATTCCTTAATGAAAATAATGCAGCTATAAAGCATGCATAAAATATTGACAATATTTGGACTGGTGATGCTTCATTATTTCTATAAAGTTATGAATATATATAATTTGTGAATGCTACATGTGCATGATGAATTACAATGAAGAGCCCTGGTGGTGTAGTGGTTAGAATGTAATATTGCAGGCAAATTCTGTCTGCAGCCTGGAGTTCAATCCTGATGAGGCTCAAGGTTGACTCAGCCTTCCACCTTTCTGAAGTTGGTAAAATGAGGACCCAGATTGTTGGGGGCAATATTCTGACATTGTCAACCACCCAGAGAGTGCTGTAAAGTGCTATGGGGTGGTATATAAGTGCTATTACTACTGCTAGGATGAATTACCAGCCAAACTATTCCAATTCAGTGTCTTTCAGTTGGGTTGGACCTAGTTACCATCTGAAGTTGGAAGAGAGTCCAGTAAATTTGGAGAGCCCCGGGGGGGGGGGGAAGCTGTCATTACATTTTGAAAGGATAGGTTTATAAGGTTTAGCAAATACTATTCCATCAGAATCCTAGGTCAGCTGAAATCACTAAATATGCAAATTTATTTCATCATATTATTTTCTAATTCCTCTGCATGTAATCAGTGAACTCATTACTTTTTCTTACTGGAAATTACAGCTGAAATTTACTTAAGAAAAATGTCTATCTCTGTAGCTACACTTCCATATGAGCCCTATGCAAGTCCCAAATGTAAGTAATAAAGAGTAGGTGCCTTCTTTATCCATACTTTTAGTTAGTCTTCTCCCAATTTAAAGAGATCAATACTGAAGTAGAAAAGTTCAATCTTGAAGTAACTTTTTTTTGGTAGGATTGGTCAGTGTTTGGAGACTTCCTGGGAGGTATCAGTTGCTTGGTGATATGGTACGGTGCTAGCACTATTTTGACTAATCCTTCATGTAAGTCTTTTGTGTATGTTTTGAATTGGGTGCTTGACTGGATGGTAGATTGAATCATTTGCATTGATTTCTTGATGACTCCTTTATTTGAGTGCCAGAATTCCAGGAATTCTCTGGCTCTTCTGATGTTTCTCTGGTCAACACTTTCTATATTTTCCCAGTCAAATGTGTGATTCATTCTGTGGAGGCGAGTGACTTTAGGCCCTTGTGATTTTGGATCGTTGTTGCAGATGTGCATTCTGTGATTCTTCAGTATAAATGGTGCCCTGTCCTATCTAGCACTGCCTGCAACCCAGACAGTTGAACCTCTGTGTGATGTTGGCAATTTATGATGAGATTATAGTCTCTGTCTTATACAGGATTCTTTCCAGAGTTTTTCAGGGTGTGATGCCTGGTGGCTTGGAAAGTCTTTTAGTCTTGTTTTGTTTCCTGGTGTATTTTTTGATGAATTGCTGAGGTGGAGATGGACTTGTTCTTACTGGATGTGCTGTGGTGGTAGTTGAGTTCTACTTTTATAAGAGCTGGTGAGCTGCAAAGTGTTTTTGCTCTGTTGATGATGGTTCTTACACAGTTGATCTCTTGTATTTGTGTATTAGTTGCTATAGAAGTTTAAGATTCAGTCTGGGTGGGTGGACTTCTGTAAACTTGAGTTTGCAATTTACCATCATTTAATTTAATGATGAACATATCTAGAAACGAATGTTTGTTCCCTTTCTACATCTCTATGATAAATATGACTCCTGAGCAGGTATTGAATATTTGAAATACACTTTCTTTTTGGTTTTCTTTTTAGGATGAAAAATAGTAATTAACTGATTTGTGCTTGGGATTAGATTTTAGGAAGAGCAAAGGTTTCTTGATGTTGCATAATAAGGCTGGCATCATTTCCATCCACTAGTCAGTTGATTCTTTCCCAGAAGCTGTATTCAAATTCCACACAATCTATAAATGCTGCAAATAAATCCTCATTTCTGAGGAAGCTTCCCAGGAATAGGGGCAAAACATCTGCAAAAAACCCACAATTTTGGTATATCTTCTTATGCCCAGAGGAACCCTACAAAAGTATGTACAATGAAGTACAATAAAGCTTGGCTATTCTTACCCCAGGAGATCCTGGTTCTCTGTGAAGATCATCTCTTCAGTTTCATAGGAATGAATGTCACAATATATAATTTCCAAATCCATGAAATTATTGCCCTTCCTCTAATGTGCTCCAGACAGTATACACAGCATTTTAAAATACTCTGGAAAATTATGGATTGCATCTTAGGGACAATATATATTGGGTTGTGTATATCCATTTTCATTGGCAACTGTGGCAGTCAAGTAGTGAAAGAAAGTGGGATGGGATCCTGTACATAAATAAGCAACCTTATTTATGTACAGAATACATAAATAAGGTTACTGTGCAAGAGGAAGCAAGAGGGCCACCCGTCCCATTGGTAGCTGAAAAGATTGGCAGTTAGATGCTGTTGCATGTACAGTATTTGAATATCTTGAGATATCTGCTTTTATTTTGCTGAGTGACTGTACCAAATGCTGGACACACATAATATTTATGGAGGGTTTCATCTGGCTTTTTACTGTACAAGAATGATTCTGAAATGTTGTTAGCTCAGCTCAGTTTTGAGTCACATAAGTAGCCACACCCTACCTAGCTGCAGTGCGGTGTCATTGAAGCAAGGATTTAGAGTTATATTTTAAAAAAAGAGAGACCATTATCCGATATTTAGGATTGAATCACTTAGCTTTTTGTAGCAGGCATGTGAGATAAAAGCTTGACATTTCACACTGAAATCCTTACCAGTCTTCCTTGTTCATTGCTGCTAAAGACTAATGGCAGATGCTTCCTTATAGATGACCTATGTTCCTTCAGAGGGAACACGCTTGCAATTGTAACCTAGTTTAGAGGATTTTCCAATGGATTGTATTGTTAGTTTCGTTTAAGAAATATTTATGCAACACTATTTTGAAAACACACACAAAGGAATTAGGATCTTTTGCTTAATTGTTAATAGAAAATCAAGAAGGTCGGTATGATTCAACGGCATATTTTTAAAAAAATGCCATTTAACTAGACCGGACTGACTATCAAGTGGTTGGTATGAAGAGTGAGTACTGTAAAAGCAACCTTGTTGTCTCTTATGCCCTTCAGATTTCAGCCTACATCATGTTCAGTAGTAAATAAACATTTAAAGAGTAAAGAGAAATTTGCCCAGACATTTTATTCATATTATGTTACATCTTCAAATTTACGCTTGTGTGCAAATTTATTGTAATCCCACAGCTGTGACATTTCATTCCCCGAGAAAACATTCTTTCTTAAAAGCAATCACACCCAAAACCAGCGATGGGAGGTTATGGTTAGAAAGGATTTAGACATCTTGACTTGAATGTCAGACTTGTTTGTTTTGGAAAACAAAAAAGCCTACATTTTTTCAGTATTAAATTTGTAAAGAGAATCAGGGCAGTTAAAGACAATTATTTCCTAGAAGGATGCTCATTGAAAATGTTTTAATTGGAATTACTTGCATCCAACATGAATTCAAACATAAAATTTGCTTTCAGAAGAATAAAAATAATTTAAAAAATGACTGCAAATGCAGCCTTGTAATATTATGACGTCATAATATTTTAACTCATTACACATGTTGTAAGAAGTACACCTATAAGGCTTGTGTTGATGCCTTTTATAAAATATAAATGTGAAATATATTTATAAAAGGCCATTTATCAATAGACTTTGTGATTCCTCCTGTGGAGAAACATTTGCAATGGATTTTAGCTTACAAGGTCAAATAATACAAAAAAAAATTTCGGCCCCCAGCGTTGCAGCAGTTCTGTATATTGTTCAACATATTGTCATGGGTACAGTTAAATAATATTCCCTTTAACGGAGGAATTTAAATTACTACTTAATAGCATTGGCTTTACCCTGTATTCAGTGGTGGGATTCAGCCGGTTTGCACTACTTCAGCAGAACCGGTAGCTAATTTTTTGTTGCCCAGGCCCAGAATGGACTTCTGGAGGCGGCATCCACACAGAGAACCAGTTGTTCACATATTTGAATCCCACCACTGCCTGTATTACTATAACCGAATCAAACCTGGGCAGCAAAGTTCATAAGGGGAGCAAGGGGGTGGGTTAGACAACATAAACAGTGTTATAGCATTGCAACAACAGCTCTGTCCCTTTTCTACACACATGGAAGTGTCATGCTGGCTCAAGAATGAAACAGAGATTTTAATTAAAAGATGGGTGTTAATTTTGTACAGGCATAAAACTTTTCATACTTGAACTATGCACAAATACAGTGGTGACTGGGGTGATTTCTGCATGTAACAAAATAGGTGTGGCATTAAATAATTACATAATGAGCAGTGTTTCATTAAATGATTACAAGACATAATCAGATTAGTAATTAGGGGAAGTAAGTGAAAGATATCTCATATTTGAAACTATGATTTCCAGGATTATTTGGGAAAGAATTACAATATAAATATGCACAATTTGAATATTTTGCAAGGTTTCAAGTTGCTTTGGGCAGATTTTTTTAAAAAGATATAAAGACAAATTAAAGGTACAGATCACTGTCATATTTTTGTATGTAGGAAAAAGAGCTGAATGGGAAGGTTTCTGCAAAAGAAAAATCAAGTGTGGATACTAGATAAAGTTGCTAGATATACCAGAAATTGCTATTATATTTACATCTTATTTAGTATCTTTGGGATGATCAACATGCATGTTAAATTGGGAAGAAAATTAAACACCAGGAGTAGAGACAAAAACCCATATCCTTACTCTTCTATAGAATTCTATACCAAAACTAATAGTGTACATAAAAGGTAAAAGGGATAGTTTACCATAATCTGGTGAGGAAAATTTCCCTGTGTTTAACAACTGTATTTACATTGGAGTGTATTCTCTATATTGGAGCTACTTTTAGTTTACATATGGTACATAACTAAAATGTAAAGGTCAGGTTCTAAAAAACTGTGTTATTTTTTCATGCCAAACATGGTTATGAGCTGTTGCTCTGAAACAGCAGGGTTTTATTAGAATTAAATTATTAAAAATTGATGGGAAGTCATCTGAAGTCTTTTATTTGAGAATGGAATCAACATTTGTTTTAAAATTTTCATAATCATGTATCAATAGGGAATGACTAGCAATAGTGCATTGTGATTTTTTATTAAAAAATGAATAGATCTAAATTTCTACCACTTTTCTGTCAATTCTACGTCTGAAATAGCTTTTTGGATTCTGAATAATGAAGCAATGTTTTATTTTAATAGCTCAGCATTTGGGATTTAAACATGTAGAGACCTTGTGTCTTTATTTTCTTGGGAGAAAAATATTTTGGTATTCAAATTTCTGTTTAAATTACATATAGCACCTTTATCTCTGTATAATCAGATAAAGGTGATTGTTGCTGTTTTTTGCTATATGATTGAAATGGAAATTTAAATGAAATTTAACAAATACTTTCACAATACATGATATGCTGCCTAAATCTGTTAACAACCTGTATATTTCTATTGTTACAGCAGAGTATTGTCATTCTTAAGGACTGCTATATTGACTGTAATTCACACAGGGTCTTATTCAGAGATACAGAATTAATATATGCCATTTTTTTCTAATGACACTTTTTTGTCCGGTTGCTTATGTTGACTAACTGTTTTAAGATGAAACTAAATTATGCTGAATTTGGAACAGTTTCTGTGCAACTGCTTTAAAATACAGTAAGGAATTCCAGAATTTTACAGTTCCTATAAATCACTTTGTGCACAGTTGCATTCCCTTACCATGGTGTTAATAAGTACAAAGAGGAAGTGATATGTTGGTCCAAATATTGCTCAACAGCAGATATATACAAAAGGCCCTGTTAGTGATTCCTCCATTATGTACACTATCATGTTTCCAAAGGCAATATATCAGCATTTTCTTAAATTGGCAGTGCTCCTATATTTTGGCTTATGACTAAGTAACGTTAGGAGATTCTGTTTCAGACAAGAATACTTTTTCTCTGATTTTTTGATTTGCTACCTATAAATAATAAAAACATTATTTAGCAGCAAATCTAAAAAACAAAAAGGGGTAGGGGAAACATGTAGTCACAAGTGATCTTTATTAATTAGAATACTGTATAGTGCTGTATTTTGTTACCCTTCTTCGAGTTGTACCAGGAGAAACTGTTCCAATTGTTTGACTAAGAAGATTATCAGAAGCCAACAATGGATTAGGACCACCACTTAGATTTCCAGGGCCACCACTCGCTCCTGCTCCAGACACAACTCTTTCAGTTACAACCACATTACGGGCATTTGATATGTCAGAAGGGAGGGTCATGTTGCCATGTACGCTAGCAGCAGGTCGAATTACTCTTTCGGTCACAACTACATTTGACCCTTCGGTCAGATTGGGAATGCTCAAAGAAGCTGGTAACCTTGAATTAGGAGCAATTACTCTTTCTGTGACCACAACATTTGACCCACCTGGTAGGTCAGGAATATCTATCATGCCATGGATATCGGTGACTGGGGCAGGAGCCAGCACTCTTTCTCTAACCACAACATTTGATCCACTCAGAGAATCAACATTAAGTGTGGGGGGCTTCATTGTTGAACCTGAAGTATATGTTTCTGTTACAACTACGTTACCATGGAGCATAGGATCAGGTATTGGCCTTGGAGGTTGTACATTGGAAGTAGTTGTGTAAGTATTTTCTCTAACAACGGTGGTACCACCAAAGGCAGTAGGTTGAGGCATAGATGAAGATGTGTTAACAACAATTGTGGTTCCAGGTGGTGGCAGATTTACCTCAATATCAGGATTGGGTAGAGGCATACTGGGATCTGGGAAGGGCTCAATCTCTCTTCCCAAGCAGATCTCTGCCAAGGTCTTAAACTTAGGACCCAGTGTATCCAAATAGGAATCGTCCAGATCATCCCCAATAAAACTGCAACAGCCAATGGAACCAGCAGGAGTGCCTATGCCCTCATGATCATATATTAGGAGACAATCATTTGCAGGTCTGCCTTCATCTTCATCAGCGTAGGCAAATGCTTTCTAAAAATGAATAAGCAAGAGAAAATTAGCATTGTTTATCATTAACATGAGAAAGAATATCAAAATATTCTCCAAAAAGGTAAGTACTTAAAAGCTGGGTGATTAACTTGAATTTCAGTTATACCAACTGCTTCAAATTGAATCCAAACTGATGTACTGTATATTCCCATTCCACAACATGGATAATTTATATTTATTCCATACATAATTTATTTCATACTGTGGAGAGGCAGTCCAAATTTTGCATCAAGGAATATCAAATACTCTAAGTTATGAACACTTTGCACCATTACTTGGCATAATATAATTTAGGTTTGTGTTCATAAATATGAACATAACCCTAAGCAAATATACCTAATAGTGACTTATTACCATTCTCCATATTTTGCTAGGTACAATATAATGGTTTACCTCAGAGAAGTAGCTGTCTAGGAAAGCCATATTCACACCACTTTCTCGGTATTCTTTTATTCCTCCAAATGTATCTTTCCGTCCCATTGTCCCATAGCCAGTGGTTGTCCCATAACCAAGTGTAGTTCCATAGCCTTTTGCTGCTCCAAGTCCTGTTGTTTCTTCAACTCTTGAACTCACCATTCTTCCATCACCATATTTAGTTGTGTAGATATCTGATAATGATGATTATTTATTTATTTATTTATTCAAAACAAAATAAAAGGACAATACAATCACCTGTCCTCAAGGCCTGGGAAAATAACTAGCTCTTCAGTAGCTTATTGAATAATGTAAAGGTGGTAGCCAAACAACTCACTGAGGGGAGATCATTCTAAAGGGCAGGAATTGAAACAGAGTAGGTACAATTCCTGGGTCTTGCAAGATGATATTGTTTAATTGAGGGGACTTGCAGCATGCCCACTCCGCTGGACCCAATCACATGGGAAAAGATGATAGAGATACACAGTTTCTCAGGTGGCCTGGCCATATGCCTTGAAAGGCTGTAAAGGTTATAACCAACAGCTTGAATTGTTCTCTGAAGCCTAGTAGTAACTAGTGCAACTTGCAAAGCAGCAAAGTGATGCACATCTAATACTGCCTCATTGTCTGTGTTGTCCTATTCTAGACTGGTTGTAGCTTCTGGATGGTCTTCAATAACAACCCCAAAAGGTCTTATTAATCACAGCTTTCACCTGCTCTTTGAGAACTGAGAGTTCAAGAGGATTGCACACATCTTAAATGGGTAATTACAACTCAATGGAATATCAGAAATGGAGAGTCAGCAGTGGGGGCACAAATAGACATAAAAACTCAGTCTTGGTAGGATTCAGCCTGAGGCTGTACTTCCCCATCTAGGTCTAGAGCCTCCAAAAATTGGGTCACTAACTCAACCAACCAGGGGTCAAGATATACAACATCATCCGCATGCATGTTACATATTGATGATATGTGACACCAAACTGGAAGATGATCTCACCCAGCATTTTCATGTGAACAGAAGGGGCGTGTCAAGCTCTGTGGCATCCAACATGTAAGGGCCTATAAGCAAGTTTTCTTTCTACCTGTCAATACCGGTTGAAATCAGTCACAGAAAATAGAGGAAAACCATCATAAAACAGTGGCTATGATGATAATTATAGTGTTGATGATGACACGTAATAGATTCAAAGAACAGTAGTGATCAATTCACTGATCAATTAATCAATGCAAAGCTGAATGTAAAACAATTGAGGCCCAATTTCTATTGATATGCTGTGAATATTACAGTCACTCCTATGCTCCTATGCAGACACTCTTTGTATAACAATTTTTGTAACTATGTGGATTTTTCATGGGCCCACAGAGATTCCATTTCCATAAATTATAAGAATTAGATGTAGAATAATAAGAACACATTCACTCCTCCACTTTACTGCTATTTCTATCCCCATCAACTATCAGAATTTGTTAGTTAAATGTTACTTTATTTACCTGAAGAATCTGCAAACTCCCCTTTACTTGCAGCAGTTACTGGTGCACAGATATTTGACACATCCTGGAAAGAAAGCCCAAGCTAAGTTATTAAAATATACTTTTTAATAAGTAACATAAGATTGGTAGAAACAAGGCCTTAGATTTGTGTGGAAGTATGTCTTAGTTTGATTATAAAATCTATTATAGTTCCTTGTGACAGTACTGTCAATGGATCCATCTGGTTTGGTATCAGCACATAAGTGATCTTGGCTTGGTTTGGAAGCAATCAGTGTTTGGACCTGGTTAGTTACTGGGATGGGAGGCCATTGTGGCAAAACATCCTGGAATAAGGTAGCAGCAAACCACTATTGTAGAGTTACCAACATCCCCCTCCCCCCCAGATGGTTGTGTTCACAGAGTCACGTTGGGGATGTAGAAAATAAAATAGATGACATTGACAGAGATATACAGAATCTGTTACCTAAGGCAAAGGGGGCTAAATATTTTTCAGGTGCAGAATGAGATAACATTCAGAAGAAGATTAGTCAGATGCTTCCCTAATTCACTGGACTATAAGAAGGAAGTACAGCAGAATCGGACTTGCAAAATTCTGTTATTTATACTAATCTCAATAAAAGTAATGTCAGCCTTCTTGTGGGGTTGATTTCCTGTTCTGAACTTCCTAGTTGAACTCAATGGCAACTTTTCCTTTGACTGGAAAAGTTGAGTACCTGCTGAGGTCCATCGCTAATAATGTCTTCTAGGCTTCTTTGTTGCTGATGTTGCCTATTCATCTGTCCTTTCTGAGAGTATGTCAGTGATTAAGCAATGGGAAGCAAAGGCAGCCTGTGTTTTTCTTTCCTAACAAGGTACAGATTGGCCTCCTAGGTCATGAAAAAAATGGAGAACTACTGATGGATAGTGGCAAAGAGGCTCCCTAGTCTAAGATGGGGTAAAGATTTTCTGTAGTCAACTCCTAGCCCTTGGTCTTGATGGTTGGGGATCTGGTGGGAACTCAGCCTAATGCATCTGGAAGGAACAAGTTGGTTGATGCTGAAATAATATGTATCTGCATGTAGACATTTGGGAATATGCACGTCTCTGTGTGTTTCAGTGAAGAACTAACCCGGTCTTCAGGCTGTGCTCCTTCAATTCCCCAGGAATGGATAGCTCCTTCTGTGCATTCAGGCACAGGCTCAAATCCAGCTCCCACTCCACCAGCCTGTCTGGATCCCAGATAACCCAAACAATCACTCTGTGACATCAGAATTGGTACCACTGATAAACCAAACCAAAACAAAAAGTTATGTGCTTTTCATCAGTAGACTAAATATTTGATTTGTATATAAATAGAGGCACACAATAATGTGGGACCAGTCTATTTCTAGTCTACAATGTCTACTAAAGCCATATAATCATTTCTGGAGATTTTTTGCTCCAGGTACCTTTACAGGTTGAACTGTGCTGAGTGAATGTTGGGCACAGTTATCTCAGCTGCCCCCCCCTGACATTGGAAACCTTTTCCTGGACAGGCACACCTGGCATCTACATTACTGCTTTTTGGTGCTAGACACACACTTCTTAAATTTTAATTGCTTCAGTGCCATGTATTAATCATTGTATATGTTATCTAAAGCTTTTAAAATCCTTTTTAGTGATCATTGTCATTATTTAATGTGGTATTTTAGTAGTTTAACAGACATATTCTTGGGAAAAATTTGCTTTGAAAATCAAAATCACATTCTTAAATAAATCAACAAACATTTTTCAGGATAATAGCAAACACTTTTTAAGCCTAATATTATCAGCATGTGTATTTCCATTCAGCAGATGATGCATCTCAAGATGGACATCATGAGCAGAACACTTTTTAACTGAGGGTTGTTGTTTTTTGCATGGAGAAATTGAGACTAAGTTCATAGCAACATTCTCAATTAATGAGAATCAAAAGGTCTATTTTACAGAGCCATTATATACTGAGCAAAAAGTTTTATAGAAGTAAAAAATCATATTATATAGAAAACACATTTTTTAAAAAGGAATAAATCTATCCTTATAGAATACTTACACACAAATATTAATCCTCCAAGAAGCATCAGGCCAATGGCAGCAGCACTAAGAGAAGTTTCTCCACCATTTTGCTTCGCTCCTCCTACATCAATAGCATGCCCACTAGTGCCACCATGCCCATGTGTGTCATCAATGCCACCTATACCACCACCACCACCTCCAGTACTACCTCCACCTGTTCCCCAGTCAGTGCCACCTGTTCCCCAGTCAATGCCACCTGTTCCTCCTCCACCTGTTCCTCCTCCACCTGTTCCTCCTCCACCTGCTCCTCCTCCACCAGTTCCTCCACCACCTGCTCCTCCACCACCTGCTCCTCCACCACCTGCTCCTCCTCCACCTGCTCCTCCACCACCTGCTCCTCCTCCACCTGCTCCTCCACCACCTGCTCCACCACCACCTGCTCCTCCACCACCCGCTCCTCCACCGGCTCCACCGCCACCAATAATTATAATTTTGACTCTCTTGGTAGCCATTTTGATACACATTCCATTTTGATCACAGTGACAGGCCTGCAGAGGAATTACCAGTGGCCTTTGACAGCTTTTGCCACTGTTGTCGATCACTTTGACTTGGACCTCATAAATTATGAACTCTATGTTGTTAGTGAACAGAGCTGCTGAAGTAACTGGAGGGAGACATAAGGGAAAGGACTACATTAAGAACTCTGCTTTGAAATCCCTATAATCAAAGTTCATTCTCTTAAATAATTATTGTGAATTTGACTATGAAAATTCAATGAACAAAAAGTCTCTAACAGGATAGGCATAACATATATGTTTATTTGTGTGTGTATGTTCGTGTATGTATACACGCACATATACATACAAGTAATTCTTGATTTACAATCAAAATTGAGACCAGAATTTCTGTTGTAAATCATTATGATGGTAAGTTAAGTCAAACTTAGTTTTATAACAATTTACATGGTTATTAAGCAAATCCAAGTTCTCCAATGGAAATTTTTGCTGGAAATTAGCAAAAAAGGTCATAAATCACTATTATGTAACTGCAGGAAGCTGCAACTGATTGTAAATACAAGCCAGTTGTCAAGTGCCTGAATTGCAATCATGTGACTGCAAGGGTGGTGCAACAGTTATAAGTGTGACTACAGATCACAAATCATTTTCCCAAGGCTATCATAACTTTGAACCATCATTAAATCAAGAGCCATACATCGAGGACTTTTTGTGTTATCAGTTTGTATCTGGTCTGATCACAGTGATGGCCTTCAACTTTATACATTTTTCTCTTTTTCTTCTTCTTCTTCTTCTCCCCTTTTCAGCCCTGCAAGGTGGGTAAAGACAGGCTCACAAGCTCAAGGTTGACTCAGCCTTCCCTCTTTCCAATGTCAGTAAAATGAGGACCTAGATTGTTGGGGGCAATATGCTGACTCTGTAAACCGCTTAGAGAGGGCTGTAAAGCACTGTGAAGTGGTATGTAAGTCTGAATGATATTGCTATTTGATAAAACTTATTTTGTTTCTCCTCCTCCTCCTCCTCCTCCTCCTCCTCCTCCTCCTCCTCCTCCCCATTTTCATACTGCTGACTTTTCCCCCTCCTTCTCTAAAAATAACTGACACTTAAGAGAAATGGATGCCACTGTCCCGTAGTGCTGGGATTTGTATATGACTGATGGATTAATCTTTGAAATTCAGATAGATCAATAATTCAAGGCAATAAAATGTATCAGTTAAAATATCCCCAGAGCTATTTATTTATTTATTTTATTTATTTATTTATTGAATTTTTACCCCGCCCTTCTCCTTGCGGACTCAGGGCGGCTGACAGCCTGATAAAAACAAATACAAAAAATACCACAATACTATCGTTAAAAATATAATTAAAATGAAATATTTGATAGGCCTTTGTAATTTAAAATTATTTTTAAAACCCCCGTTAAAAATTGCCCCTTAGGCCAGTCCTGCTAGTTGAAATAGCCATGTCTTAAGGGCGCGGAGGAAGGAAGGGGGATCCGGGATCACCCGGATCTCTGGGGGTAGTTCGTTCCAGAGGGTGGGAGCTCCCACCGAGAAGGCCCTCCCCCTGGGGGTCGCCAGCCGGCACTGTCTGGCTGACAGCACCCTGAGGAGACCCACTCTGTGGGAGCGTACCGGCCGATGGGAGGTAATCTGAGGCAGAAGG